AAATATATCTATTTCACTTTGCCTATAATATAAGTTCAAAAATTCAAAATTAGTAGGATTATAAATAATAATGCTTAGTTAACTTAGCAAAGATCAAAATCATTGATTTAATTAGATAAGTATTTACCTAAATAATTGCAAAATTTATGTAGTTTTATAAAATCAACAAATAAAAAAAAAAGGAGAACAGGTAGAAAAATTTATATAGCTGATTTTTTAGAATCATTAATATTTATCATCATAACTTTGAAAAGAGTTGTATCTTTAGAAGATTGAGTAAATGATAATACCTTCAAAGACTATATATACATCTACCATGATTAAATATATTAATACTAGCATAAATATCTTCATTAAGATGTAAACCCTTTTGAGCTTTAGATATACCTATTCAAAATTGTATAAAATTAACAGTATTGAAACAATCAATATAAATAATCAATATAAAAATAATCAACATAAAAATAATTAACCTATTGATGATGAATTGGGTGTTACTTTTGGTGATTTATAATTGTTAACTGTCAATTCTGTCAATCTAATAAGTAGCTTGTAACAGTATTTGTAGTTAACTTGGCCATTAATCATACTTAAAAGTAAGGAAATATAGCATATTTTACATATTTCATTATTCTTAAATCAATGATTAGTCAATTACAAATAAACTAACAATACTACTCACAAAAAGAATAACTTGCCTAACTTAGTTATTTGAACATAACTATTACTATAATATTAGTCTTGTACTAATATATAATCAAGCATTGTATTTTAAATTAATCACCTTTTTTATCTACAAAAGTAATATTAAAAAGATATTAATATTAAGTATTAAAACTTTTAAATTTATCTTTGAGTATATTCATGTTTCATAATATAGATTTGTATTTGGATTAGTAAAGAAGCTTTTTTCTATATTAAATTGTATTTTAATATATCTAGAAGTAATATGATGTCCACCAAAACCTTTTATTGTTTCTTGAAACCAATCTACTACAAATTTTGGTTGCTCTGCTATGTTCTTTTCTAAAGTTACAACAGGAGAAGAGCCTTTATTATCGATAGTATCTTGATTTTTTTTTTAAGTGCTTTTTTGGCTGCTTTTTTTGCAATTAAAGCATCTAATGCTAGAACTGAATCTTCAGTGGTCATTTAGATAAATAATACAATGTAAGAAACCTGATTGCACTTATAATATCAAATACCCCAATATTGGTCACCCAATAA